CTGTGAGCCCCTGATGGAAAAGTGGGCGTGAACCAGGAGGGACACAGGAGGCTCAGAGGGAGGCTGAGGCTCAGGCACAGGGTGAGGCCCAGAAAGCRAGGATCTGAGAGGGGAGGTGGGGAGCCCCTGGGCCTCCTGGGCCCCTCAAGGCACGGCTCCAGGCCACGGCTCAAATCAACACCGACTGCTTCTGCCAGCCTAYGGTTCCCAGGCCAGGGACCCCAGATCAGCGCTCCCTGCCGTCTGGGGACGCTTAGGGGTGCAGGGTCTCAGGCCCCACCGGACACGCTGATCAGAAATGGGGGTGGGGGCAGCAGGGCAGCTTTGCCAGGCCTTGGGTGAGTCCAGAGCTGCCGCAAGGCCGTGAGCTGAATCCGACGCGGCAGCGGCACAGCCCTGGGTAGAGGAGGAGGCCGTGGGCGAGGCCGYGGGGGCTCGTGGGAGGGAGTGGTCCTGGGCTCGGCTCCCAGCTCCGAACCCTGCTCTACAGAATGGGGGCTCCGCCTGCCGGTGAGAACAGCGGTCCACGTGGCTGTCCCCATAGGGCCTCGCACCGTGGCGTGCCCAGCACGTGCTCATCCTGTTGCGGGTGTCCCCGGCCAGGCCTGTGTGGACAACTCGTGCCCGTGACTTGGCTCCTTTGGTGTCCCATCCCACTCCAGGGGACTGGGYGGAGGAGGCCCAGGACTGACCCACGGCTCCTGCCCCTGGATGCAGCCGAAGCCCGAGAGGGCCTTGGTGCTCCTTCCCGGGAGCTGGCCTGGGTAGGGGGCTGGGAAGGGGACAGGGAGGGCAGGGTGCTGGGTGCTGCAGCAGTGTCAGGTGGAGGCTGGCCAGGGGGGACTTCCATGGCCTAGGTCCTGAGTGTGTGAGCTGTGACAAAGTGACTAGGTCCCGTCACGGCTCTGGAGGCCAAAGGGCCCTCAGTCAGCGCGTTCCTTCTTGGGGACAGAGGGACAAGCCCCCCCCTGGCCATTCCCAGGCTCTGGTGGCTACCAACATCGGGGGCGGGGGGCTGTGATTTGTCACTTCAACTTCCYTCTCTGCCTGCCTGAGTCGGGTTCCCCCTCCTCACGAGGACACCATCATGGGTTCGGGCCACCCAGCCCCAGGGTGACCTCATCTTAGCCTAATTACATCTGCAAAGACCCTGTATACAAATCAGGCTCTGGTCACAGGCACTAGGAGTCAGGACTTCAATCCAACTTTCAGGGGACAAGATGCAGCCCAGCAACCTCAGCACCTCCACAGCAGTGCCCAGAGCGATGGTGGCAGGCAGGTGACAGGCCCTGCCAGCTGYGACCGTCTCCAAGAATTTGCTCCTCCCCAGAGTGGACGTCACTCTGGAGTGACCAGCTGGACCCTTGAGGCAATGGCAGCTTCTCAGACATTTCTCAGGAAGTGTCTCAGGTCACCGTGCTCCACCTCTGAACCAGGAGCTGTCCGCACACAGAAACCAAGAAGATAAAGGAGACGCAGCAGCTTAGATCAGTCAATTTTCTTTTCTTTTTTGTTTTTTTTGCCCGAAAGCTATTTAATAAAGTGAGTGGTGGGTGGGAGCAGTAGCGAGGGTGGTCTGGACATACAGGCCTGGGCACCTGCATGTGGACGGGACGTCCTGGGCGGAAGTCGTGGACCTTTAATGAAGCGTTTGCTGGGCTCTGCCATCTGGTGCCTGGGAGATGTTTCTTGAAAAGCAAAGCATTTTTGGGAGGGAGTTGACTGGACTGGAAGGAATGAGCTGATCCAAACCTCCCTRGGCAATGTGCCCCCTGCAGGCTGGGCCGCGTGACTGAGGAGCGGGTGGCCCAGGCTCAGGGTGAGAGCTTTACCCACAGTACCACACAGTGACCTTGAACTCTTTAACCCAAAGCGTCTCTTAAACTATTGGGAAAATACTCGGGGCAGGCCTTGCGGGTGGGCCTAGTGGGGGGTCTACGACAATCCAATTCCTGTAGCACCTCCAGGTCCACAGGCTGCTGGGCTGGGCTCTGTCCACCACTGCTGGCCCGTCCTCCAGGCTGGCTGTTGGCCAGCGGTGTCCTGGCCCAGGAAATCTGTCTTAAGGCAAGTGGTCAGCCAAATGAAGAACCCACCTGCTAACAGGGCCATGAGAGGCCATTCAACAGACTCCTGGCCATCTGGACAGGAGCGTCTCCCAAGGACCCTGTGTGGAAGGCTTGGTCCTCAGCCCCAGGGGCTGCCGGGAGGTGGTGGGACGGACGTAGGAAGCAGACTCAGTGAAAGGGCTTAGGTCCTTGTGGGAAGGAGGTATTGGGCTCTCTGGTTGGGCTCTCTGTCCAAAGGCCTTTGAGACAAAAGAAAAAAAGAAGTCTATGGTGGCAACATGGAAATCTTGGGAGATGAAAAGGAAGTATCCGTTCAGCTCTGGGAAGTGGAATGTGTTCATTGGTTTAGTCAGTGAGCGGCTTCAGGGTTCATGCCAGGGAACTCAGAGGTGGACAAGGTAGAAGAGTCCTGTCCCCCACTGCTGTCGATGTTGGGGCCTCGGTTTCTTGCAGGAAAATGCAAACATCGAAGCCACAGCAAGGTCTGCGGTCCCCAGCCATGTGTCCTGTGGCATTAAGGGACAGGGGACCAGCTGTGCTTTGGGTACTGAGTCACCCTGGACCATCTCCAGTGCTCTGCTTGTCACATTTTCCAAAGATAGTGACCAGCTGGAGTGTGTTGGAGAGGACACAGGTGGGGGGCCTCAGGGAAACGGAACCCCATGAAGGGTGCTCGCCCTGTGGGGTGGCCCATCTGGAAGGAGAGCTCTGAACGGCTGGAGCTGTGTGCGGGAAGGCGGAGGCAGGTCCTGGGCTGGCGGTAGGCCTGGTTGTCTGCTGCAGAGTGGAGGACGAGGAGCAGCGGGTGGAGATGGCGGGAAGGTGAGTTCCAGCYGGGGAGAGCAAGCCGGCGTGTCCAGGCCCAGCAAAGCTCTTCCTGCCCAGAGACACCCACGCCCGTCCCCAGACCCTGCAGACGGGTCGCCCCAGAGGCTCTGCAGATGCGATTACATTAAGGATTCTGGAGGGAGATGGTCCGGGATGGTCCAGGGGCCCCTGAATGCAAGTCTAAGTGCCCTTCTGAGGGGTCAGCAGAGGGAGATGGGACAGAAGAGAAGGCCTCATGACCAGCAGAGCAAGATGCCACCGTGGTGGCTTTGAGAGTGGAGGCAGAACCCACCAGCCATGGCGCTCAGGGAAGGTGGTCAGAGGTTCTGGGGAAGACAATGGCCCACTGGCCCCACAGCCCGGGAGGAGCTGACCCAGGAAGGCAGGGCTCCAGCTCTGCAAAGTTTCCCGCTGTGAGCGGTGACTCGCTCTTGTTAAATCAAGGTTAAGGTCACTTGTTACAGCAGCGAGATGACACTAACGCCCCTGGCCAAGCTGTTGGTGCTGTCTCCATCCCAGATGGTGACCAGAGCCTGGACAGCTTCTCAGTGTTTGTAAGGGAGAAGGCAGCTCTGGGTGGCAGTTGGCAGGCAGAATTTCTGAGCCCCCTGCAGCTCTAAGACTGTTGGATTCGTCTGCCAGGACTGGCCCACTAAGCACCCCAGGCTGGGGACTTAACAGAAATGAAGTTTCAACTCGTAAAATCTGCAAGTCTGGGATGAGGTGTCAGCAGGCCTGGCTCCCCCTGGCCCCTCTCCTTGGCTCATAGGTGGCCTCCTCTCCCTGCACCCTCACAGGGTCACCCCCTGGGGATAGCCGGGTCCTGATCTCTTATGAGGACACCACTCACACTGGATCTGTGCACTCGAATGACCTCATTTTATTTTGATCACTTTTTAAAGACCCTATCTCCAAATACAGGCGTATTCTGAAGGTCGGCGTTGAGGACTCCAACAGATGAATCTGGGGGGACAAAAGCCAGCCTATAACAGCCATGTTGTACAGTGACATTGCTGACATCTCTGAGTGTGTTCGTGTGTGTGTGTGTGTGTGTGTGTGTGTGTGTGTGTGGATGCTGGGGGTCGAACCCAGGTCCTTGCACACGCCCGGCAAGGGCTCAGTTACACCCTCAGCCCCATCTAAGGGTATTTTTAAGTTTGGGAGCTCTTGTGACCAGGTGTAAGGAAGAGGGTGGAGTTCAAAAGTGAAAACCCACGGTTATGGGAAGTCCAGCCGCTGCCCACAGGGAGGACCCGGCTGGGTGTGCTCTAGCTTGTAGAAGCTCAGTGTGGCCCTGAGCCAAGGGTCATTTATTTGCCTGTCCACAATATGGCTCTGCCCACCCTGGGACTTCTCCTGGTGCAGTGGTCAGCACTTCTCGGTCCATGACGTGTTGGGGCCAGCAAGCCAGCCAAATCCGTGGACTGAAATAGAAACTCGTTTGTTTTCCAACATGTGACAAAGGAGGAAGATATTTAATTTTGAAGGGAGCTGAGCTGGCTTTATGACTGGTCCTTTTTCTTTTTTTTCTTTTCTGGAGTAAAATCCTCTCTAATACATTCTCCTCTGTGTCCACTGTTGCCATTTGGGTGGGACCGTTTCCGTGGGGGCTGGCAGGCACACTGTGGGACCCAGCCCACCCCCATTAGATGCCAGTAGCACCTCTGTGTATTTGTGCCGACCAAAAATGTCTTTGGAGATTGCCAGTGTCCCCTGGGGACATGGAGAAGGAGAGGTGTGATTGAATCAGAACCCCCCTTATCTGACGGGGACCCCAGTGGAAGACAGCACAGAGCCCTGTACACAGGCAGCGGGATACGGTGACAATCCATCTGCAGCTGAGCCAGCTACCAGTGACTAACAGGTGGGTGTCTCACGCAGTGTGGAGGCTCTGGGCAGGGGATGACTCACGCCCAGGGCAGGACGGGGTGGACCGCACGAGATTTCATCACCCTCCTCAGAACGTCACACAACTTACAGCTCATGAATTGTTTATTTCTGGAACTTTCCATTTAGTATTTTCAGACCTCAGTTGACCTCAGGTAACTGAAACCTCAGGGAATGAACCTGCAGATAAGGGAGGCCCCTGTAGCAGGGGACGGACCGAGTGGAAAGGGCAGGACGGGCATCTTGGAGAGGGTCTCCCAGCCTGTGGTTGGGGACGGAGGAGCCTCATCAGGGGTGGGCAGGGTGACAGCCACCTCCCTGGCCCTTGGATGATGCAGGTTCCCAGTCCGTCTGGGGTTCACATCCCACCCCCAGGGCTCCAAGCAAGAACAGAGCCCCCAACGACCCTTGGACACCGTCTCGGAGCCTCCACCAGGCCGCGGGGCGAGGGGCTCCCGCAGAGCAGCAGTCACAGGTGCCACCGTGCGCCCTCCTCCTTGCACTCCAGCCACAGGCCCCGTTGTCCTTGAGTGCCCCGGAGCGCCTGCCTCAGGGTCTTCGCCCTGGGCCTCCTCCCCACAGCTGCCCTGGCTCTTCCTCTTCATCCGCGAGCTCCTGGCCTGGCCGAGGCCGCGCCCCTCGCCAGCGCTCTTCACCGGTCACTGTGTGGTCTTCTCCATGGCAGTTTTGACGTCGGCCGTCGGCGCTGTCTCTGGACCCTCCACCCCACGACAGTGAGCATCCGTCCTGTTTGCTTCCTACCAATTCCCCACACCCAGGTCACAGAGCGGGACCCAGCAAATAGCTCCTGAAGGGAGGGAGGGAGGGAGGGAGGGAGAGAGTGAAGGAGGCCCATGGCCTCCTGAAGGCCGCTGTGGCCAGTGGTTTTCCCCACAGCCCCTAGGCCTGGACTAGTCTCCATCACCTCTGGGTGCTCGCCCTGTTCTTGGGATCAGTGGAGCACCCAGAGGTGGTGGGTGGCTGAGGGCAGCTGGATCTGCAGTAGGCTGAGGAGGGACCCATGGAGGCTGGGGAGCCCTGTCTAGGTCACCTGGCTACAGCCAGGGGAGTTTCCAAAGGCCCGGGAAGTGCTGGGCTGGCTGGATTCCACTCCAGGGCAAGGGGCACCAGGCTGGCACCCTGTGGCCCTGAGGGTCTCTCCCCAGGTTCTCCTTGGCCTGTGCCTCCCTTGTTCTGTACCAGGCTCCCACGGCGGCTTGCCTTTGTGACCACGAAATGTCCGCCTTGTTAGGAGGGGCTCTCCTGGAGCTTATTTTTGGGGTCTCCAGAAAAAGAGTCTCCTCCTACTTTGGCCCTGCTGTAGAGGAGAGTGGGAGGGACCGGGAGGTCCACAGAGCCCGGGGGAGACATCCATCCCTGAGTCACCCCCGCCCTGGGAGCCGGCTCTCATCCCTGGAGTGGCTTGGTGGCCAGCCTCCTAGCTCATGTGCAGCACTACAGCCTTCCCTCTGGATTCCCCTGTGTTCTGGTCACGTGCCTCTGGTCATGAGACCTTCCCCGTGTGACCTGCCTCCTGGCCCCAGGGTCCATCCTCTTGGATGGTCTGGAGATGCCAAGAGCATCACTGCCAACGAGCCCAGCCTAGAGAGTGAGAATTGCCCACATGTGAAAACAGCGTGGCCAGCTGTTCATCGGTCAGTCTGCCGACCATCTGGGCCACCTTTGGTAAAATCCGTTTTTCACAGTCACTACTCCCCCAACCCAGGGCGACCATGGCGAGGACAGAAACCTGAGGAGCCCCGAGTCTTGGGCAGACTGAGTTCACGTATTTCATGGAGATTGCTTCTGAATGTGATGGCGGGCTACCTGCTCGGCTGTCTGTACCTTCAACGTGTGACCTGAAGGGAGGATGGCCCTGACACAGAAAGCGCAGCGCACCTAAGAGATGGGCGTTCAGCATGATGTCGTCCAGCGGCTTCTTCAGAAGTGAAGTTCTCCAAAGATCTTCAGTCTGGCGGCTTCATCTTTTACTGAAGATGCAGATTAACAGGATTCTTTTTAAAGGTGTGTTTCTTCATCTTGAATGGGCGCTCCTGAAGTCTCTTATCATGGACTACGTACTTTACAGAGTTATCAAAAATTATCTAACCGACAAACATGTCTTTAAAAACTTGGGCTCGGGGAGCGGTTAGAAATCAAAGTGTGGCTTTAGATTAGGGTTGATTTTATGGCCAAGGGGAGGGCTATGGCCCTTTGAACGCTCTGCAGCTGAACAAGAACAAAGGGGTGGGTGTGTGAGCTGCGTAACGGCCGCACTGACCTAGCCCACCCAGCCCAGGTCTCAGGGGCCACCACGCTTCCACAGTGCTCTCCCAGGAACGAGGCCTGCACCTGCTCCCTGTGGCCACTGTCCTTGAGAAGCCACCTCAGTCCCCTGGAACTGGACCAGCTTGGGATGCAGCAGGACTTCGCCCGGCCAACTCTTGGCTTTGAAGAGCGAGTCACTGGGTTATTTCTGGACGATGAGTTTCGGGGAGATGGAAAACCAGCAGGCGGGATCTTCAACCCACCCATTTCTCCAAGGCTGCTCCCCGGGAAACAGAACTTTCTTTCTCACTGTGGTAAAATATGCACAACATAGATTTACCATTCCAACCATCTGCAAGTGTGCAGCTCAATGACATAAGTACATTCACACTGAGGCACGGCCATCGCCGCCATCCACATCCGACCCGTTTTCATCTTCCCAAACTCAGACTCTGCTGGTTACACAGCCCCGTCTCCCCAGCCCCTGTACCCACCATCCTGATTTCTGTGCCCTGGACTTACTTCAGGAGGGACGGCATGTAAGTGGAATGGTAAGGTATCTGTCCTTCCGTGACTGGCTTATTTCACTCAACGTGATGTCTTCAAGTTCATCCGTGCACCTGAATTTGGTTCCTTTGAAAGGCTGAGGAGCAGTCCGAGTTTGCTTGGTCATTCATTGGTCAGTGCCCATTTGGCTAAAAGCAGAACCTTTTCTGCCACAGGCTCATAGGTGGGCAAGACTGAAACCAAAGAACATTTCAAGCAACTTTGTTGAAGAAGTTGCCCAATCTCTTTAATCGTGTTTTAAAAATAGACGATGAAATGTAAGAGTTAAGGGCAAACAGCATACATTCAAAGAACACCAGGTATGTAAACAGGAGTGTCGATCCTCCCCGGCCCGGGGTGGATTTTCTTTTTCTTTCTTGCTTTTTTTTTTTTTCTTGCTCTGAAAGAATATTTGGGGTACAGAGCCTACATTTCAAAAATAGAATTTATGAATCTGATCATCTTCACAGGGAACATAAATGCCAAAGCAGCCTCTGTGAGTCATTTCTTGGATTCTAAAAGGGATTCATTTCAGACAGGAGTTTTCTTCTCTTTGAGGTTTGCTTTAAGAAGTTCCAAAAGCAAAAGCAAAACAGCAAAATAAGTGCCTGCAGCTGCAGATTAGAGGCAGCCCTCAGAGAGCAGCCCTGACGCCCAGCTGCGGGGGCCCAGGGTCCCCCCGCAGCCCAGGTTCTCCTCCAGGCCTTGGGGCGGATCCGGTCTCCATTCCACTCGAGAAGCCAAGATGCCGAAGAAGAGGTGCAGCAGAGAAGTGGGAGAGGGCCCGGGGCTCGTAGCCAGGACCAGGACCGGAGGTAGGAGCCAGCCAGGAGCACCACGGTCAGTGGTCTGGGTTTTCCATTTCCAGTCCTCTGCCAAGATCTCAGCAAGCTTCAGGTTAGGGCTCTGGCTAGTTGCTGCAGAGTTAACTGTTTGCCACTGCGAGAGCCTGTTGGCTGCTGGTGCAGATCTACCAGCTCCTGGTCTGGTCATCCCCAATGGGCTCTTTCACTCACCTAGAAGGCCAGATGCCACCAAAGCTTCTCCCTAGTTTTAAAAATGGTCACCAAATTGTCCCCTTGGCTCATCTTTACCTACAAGGCCTCCCGGCTGGTCTACATTAACACAAATATCCCAGTGATCCCGGGACACCCCGTCGGGCTCCAGCGGCCACACACCGCAGACTAGTTCACCAGCCTCCATCCTGCGGGGACCCACTGTGAGGCTACCACAGTAGTTCCTTTTTCAGTGAACAAGTTTGGTGGTCAAATAGGTCAGTGAAATACAGGGTTGGCCAATGACAAATAGGGACATCTACTGTAGGAATTATCAGAAATCTGATGCCACTGGAACCCTTCAGAAGATGGATAAGGGAGGACACGCTCTCCTACACTGAACCATCAAATCCTCTCAAAAGGCGCATCTCCCTGGAAGAGTGTCCTCAGAACACACTTAGGAAAACCCCAATTTATACACCTATTACATCCAGTGATTTACTGTGGTGTCCAGAACATAGTAGGGCATCAACCGAGTATTAACAGGGCTTCAGGGACCCCTTGCCACATGCACCAATCATCCCAGTTTCTCTTCCCTGCCTCACTGTAGGGATCTCCCATCGGTAAAGCCAGCTTGGTCTTGCTCTTTCACAGAGGGCAAGGAAGAGGAGTGGGGTCTGGGAAGGGAGAGACGGGTGCGATTTCCACGGAAAGGTTGAGAGCTACTGTTGCATTAACACAGAGGGTAAGCAAGAGGGAGTCCTGGGAGAAGGGAGCGGGTTCATCTGCAGAGGAGAAGAGAGCCCCCAAGAACTGAGATGAGAGACGCAGAGGAGGGTTTCACTGGGTGGGGATGGAATCTTCTCTGGCCTTTTGAACCACTGCAGTGGAGGTTCACTCTGCCTTTTGCTTTCTTTGTGCTCTTTTGCTGCCCAGTTGTTTGGTTTTGGAATCAGACACTGCCAGGGCTGGCTTCAGGGTGCCAGCAAACCAACCCTCCTGGCTTCTGTCCCAAGGTTCATAATGCCAGCCGTCCACTGTTATCCTGTCACCGTCCACCCCTGGGCCTTCTCGTTTACTATCCCAACTCAGGATATTGGGATTGGAGCCCTGGGTCTTGGGTGTGTCAGGTTTGGGTTTCCCATCCTTGGTCACCCTGATGGAGTCAGATGCCTCCTAAAGACCCCGAGTCTCTAGCCCATGGTGAGAACTGTCCCAAGTAAGCAAAGCCCAAACAATTCAAGAGAACCTGTCTCCCAGGGTGCCTGGCCACGAGGAGAACATGGAGGTCCCTGGAGGCTGCTCCTTGCTCAGCTCCGGGGTCAGGACGCAGGAGCACCTGCAGGGAGTAGAGCAGGCCTGACCCCTGCACCTTTCACTTGAGAAAATGTTTCTCTTTTCATTCCAGGAACATAACACCGACCTTTGCGCTCGGCCAGCGTGCAGAATCCCTTCCCACAACACAGAGGCCCCTCCAGAATCCCTTCCCACAACACAGAGGCCCCTCCACGCGGTGCTGCACAGACCTGGCCCGGAGCGGGGCTGGTGACCCAAGAATCCCGCCTGTGAGTGAGACATGAGTGGGCTGTGTCCCCGAGGCCCACAGAGGGTGGCGGGGGTGGCAGCCTCAGCTGGTGACCTCCTGGCAGCTGTGGGCAGCCCTCATCACTCTCCCAGTCATCAGATGGTGCCCAGGTGGGGGCAGCAGGTGACATCCGGTCCCCACCAGTCACCCTCTCTTCCTCCCTTCTTGACCACATTTGCGCTTGGTGGCAGGGGAGCAGGGACAGAGTGGCCCTGCCTGGGGCAAGGCGCTGTGACAGGGAGATGCGCCCTCCCCCACCTGAGGCCAGAGGCGTCCTGGGGTGGCCTGCAGCTCCTGTCCTCCTGGCCCCCTGTTCCCCTTCCCCTGCTGTTTGTGGAGGCCTGACAGGACAGGGAGGCTGGCCGCGGCTCCTCCCACTCACACACACCAGGGCAGAACTCAGGTGCAGAGAGGGGCAGAGTGCAGCCTAGTGTGTGTGGGGTGTGTGTGTGTGTGGGGGGGGGGGTGTGCGCAGTGTGTGACTGCACTGTATGTGTTGTGTGCTGTCATGTGTGTGATGCGTGGTGCACTACGGGTGTTGTGTAGTGTGTGTTGTGCATGTGACGTGTGCCTGTGATGTGTTTTGCCATATTTGGTCAACATGTATGGTGTGTTGTGTGTGTGTATTGTGTATGAGTTGTGTGGCATACGATGTCACGTGTTGAGTGTGATGTGTGCATGATGTGTGCTGTGTTGTGTGTGCATGTCGTGTGCAGCATGCCCTGTGTGGCGTGCGCTGCGTGCGCCTGGTGCAGTGTGTGCCGTGTGCAGCGCCGTGCGGGATCCTGCAGCAGCAGTGTTCCAGAACAGCGCCCACGCAGGCCAGGCCGCAGGAGCCGCGCCGCCCCCGCGGACAGCCAGCCTTGGGGGACGGCCTCGGCTTCCGACAGACAGGGGGACTTCAAGTTTGGGTTTTTTCCTGAAGGGCCCAGATTGCCTCCCTCCCCCGCCTCCCCGCGGCCTCTGCAAAGCTGCCTCCGGACCGCGCAGTCGCCAGCCCTGCGTGCGGGGCCACGCCCGCATTCTTCCAAAGGGGGCGGAGGGCGGCCCCTCCCGCAGAGCGGAGGGGCGTGGACAGTCGGGTCGCCTGCGAAGAGGGCGACCGGTCCTTCCCAGGCAGCGTGAGGAGGAGGAGACTTTCCGTCAGAGCTCCAGATGGGGGCGGGGAGGACACCCGGGGACACACTGGGCGGAGAGGAGGGGTGGGTTCCTGGTGCCCCTTCCTGGGGGAGACTTTTTTAAATGTAGCCTCAGGAGGGAGGTGTGGCCAGGTGGAGAGCTGCTTTCCATCCCAGCAAGAAAAAACACTGCTGTACCACAAAACGCGCCACTTTAGGCTTTTGGAGGCCTGCAATTCCATGTTAGATACATCCACGGTGCTGAACAGCCACACTACCTCGGTCCCCAACGTTCCCCTGGCCCAGGGTTCGCCCACGGAGAAACCCGGGCCCTTGGGCAGCCGCTCCCCTGCCTCTTCACCTGGCCTGGGGCCACTCACAGGGCCTCTGCAGGGCTGCTCCCCACCCCCCAGGTGGCCCGACCTGCTGCCCTCCTGTCTTGCTGGGTAATGGCTCCCTCCGTGCCCAGGACTCCTTCCATCAGCAGATGGAAGGCCGGTGGCCTTCAGTGTCCTGGCTGGGCAGGGCCCACCCAGGCTCTCCTCCTCTTTTGTCCACCCTTCTGAAGTCTGTAGACTTGGTGCCCCGGGTCCATGGTTTTCTGGCTGAGTGACAGTGGAACCCAACTGTTGGAATAGCTAACTCAGGATCTGTGCCACCAACCCGGTGGGCCTCTGTGTGGCCGGTCAGCAGCCCTGTATCTCACCTCCACTCGGGTTGGCACGTGTCAAATGAAGAGCTTGAGCCAGGTGGCTTTGAGCATCTCTTCCAGCACAGCCATGCATAGGCACCTGCACTTCACCTTTTGGGGGAAGGTAGGGAAAGACGAGCGGGAAATTGTCACGGCGGGTGCCTCTGAGGGCTGAAACTGCTCAGCACATCATCTCCTGGATCCATCTGCAGAGGGCAGCCATCATAGAGAGCTGTGTTGAATGACACAGCCAAGGGCCAAAATAAAAAGAAATGCGATCGGGACCAGTGTGAAGGCTGGCATTTGCTCCAGAAYGCCCCAGAACACCCCAGAATGGCTTCCAGCTGGGGAGGTGGGTCCAGAGACCTTTTATAAAGGCGTTTGGGTTACTCTGGGTCTCATTGTGAATCACCCTGGGACGGGCTGCCAACAGCCAGTGAAGTGGGATCGTGTGAGCAGTAGGGGCTGAAGGAAGGGCAGTGACACTGGTGAGGAACCCCTAGCCTGGCTGCCACACTCTTGAGAGGGAGGCCATCGACATGAACAGGCCGGAGGAGGCCATGAAGCACTGCAGCACCACGCAGAGCAGGGAGGGCTCAGGGTGCAGGTCTGCAGAGCACCAGCGGTCACCTAAGGAGGGAGCGTGGGGAGCTGGCCACGACGGGGACCTGGAGGGTGGCTGCGGCCACAGGATGAGAATAACTGCACAGCAACAAGGGTGGCCGGAATGGGGACACTCCTGGGGAGGGGCCCAGGCATGGGCGCTGTTCTCACGGGCAGTGACCGGAGACCGGGTCAAGACRTGGAAGATCCTTCTGGAGGTGAAATGAGTGGTGCCCAGATGGGGTGGGGCAAGGACCGGGAGGGACCAGCCACAGAGGAAGCCCAGTACCCGGCGTGTCAGCCCAAGGTGGCCCGCCAGCCTGGGAGTGGACTTTATGCAAATACACTGCTCTCCAGGTGCCCAGAACGGGGTGGACTGCCTTCTGAGGCAACTGCTATCTCTGAATCCACCTAATCCCTCATTCCAATCACCAGGGTGATTCACAGCAATTGGAAGTCACTTTGAAAGCTGGTTTCTTCCCGAAACACCAGCCTGGTGCCAGGATGACAGCCAGGCACAGGGCGGGGCCTTGCTGGGATTGGACAGACCAGTCGGAGAGCTTGTCCTCTGCACCCTAAGAATGCCGAGGGGGACGGCGGCCTGATGGCTTTCCTGGTCCTGGGTGTGAGGGCCCACTTCATGCAGTTGTCCCCATGCAGGTGGTGTGTGGCTGTGGTTTGGTGCCCTGCTCCTGGGGGAGGTGGGCCACAGCATCCTCAACGTCAGCGGTCACTTCTTACCCATCCCATGGGTTTGGGAGGCCAAACAGCACATCTCCAGGCAAATAAAGGCCAGGCACAAGAGGGCCCAGGTGCAGAGGTGGCCGCTTCTCAGGAGGTTGCTGCAGGATGGCTGTGTCTTGCAGGACCCACACCTGCCACCCTCCTGCCTTTTCTGGAAGCCCAGGGGTGCCCTCCTGTAGGTGAGGGAGGCCCCAGGCAAAGCTGGAGCTCAGCTGCAGAGACCAGAAGCACACATTCCAAACTGCTTGGTGGACAGGGTGCCCTGAGCTTAGGAAACAGAGAGCAGGCGAGGAGGACTCTCCCAGCACACCCTCCCCACCCTCCCCGCCCGAAAGCCTGAGTCAGGCCTGCGGCACCGCAGGGTCACAGCCACAGCACCACAGCACCAGGGCAGACTGGGCTCTGCAGAGGCCACTGCCCGTGGAGGAAATGAGCATCCCTCAGCCTCCTGGCTCCCTGGGCACCCACGTTGGGGATTGCAGATGGAGCGGCTCCGTTTCCCATGCAGGCCTCCTGGGGGCAGCGTGGGGGAGGCCTGGGGGTCCTGACCCGGGCCCTTCTGTTGTCTCTCACAGGGCCGGTCAGGCCTGGAGCAGCCAGGCGTCTTGCCAAGACTGCAGTTCCCACCAGCACCAACCACAGCTCACACTGCTGACCTGGTCCTGGCTTTGGGCTGCTTCCAGGGCACGTGCCTGAAAGTCACTCCTTGGGGCCCTCAGGGATTCCTGGGGAACCCTGGAGGATGCTGAGTGGGTCCGGGAGGAGGGTGGCTCTCAAAATGTGCACGATGCCTGTAAAATGCCCACTGTCCTGGCCTGGTGTGACCCTGGAGCTCGTCTGAGCAGATGTGAGCCCCAGAGCCTTGGCTTCTGACCAGCCATCCACCCTCCACTGCCTGGCGCTCCTCCCTCAGCCTGCCCCAAGCCAGTGCCCACCAAAAGCAGTACAAGAAGGCAGGGTCCCTCCCTGGGGGTCCATGGTAGGTAGAGCCTCAGCCAGGAGGCTCTGGGGCCGCCATCCCAACATCCAGACTTTCCTGCTGCCGAGAGCCACAGCCGAGTCGGAATGGCCCCTGGCATTTTGCCAACAGCATTGGTTGAGAGGCGAGCCCTTACTGTCCGCCTTGGCCGCGCTACTTTGGAGTTCTCGGGCTACTTTTGAGTTCTTGCGGAGTTCCCTGTGGAGTTCGGGTTGAGCTCTGGCGGGGATTCCTAAAGAGTTCCCATTGGTTGGGGAAGTGCCGGAGGAGGGAGTTCCGGTTGGTGGTTCCTGGAGGAGCCTCGGAAGAGTTCCCGGGGAGCATGTGTGGTGTGTGCTGGTGGAGTTCAGAAATAAAGTTTGTTCCTGCTTCAGTGGCTCGTGATTCGTGCCCAGCCAGACGGTGGCACCCTGCCTCCCCTGCCTCCCTGCCTCCCCTGCCTCCCTGCCTCCCATCCTCCTGCTACTCTTAGCTGTGTCTCCTGCTGAGATAGGAGAAGCACTGGGAACCTGGACTCAGGGTCCTCCCCTTCCTGGGGCTCCTCAGGTCCATTAACAACAGGGGTTTCCCAGGACAGGAGTCTTGGAGTGCAGAAGCCAGGACAGAGCTGGGCCAAGGGGGCAGCTGCTAGCCCAACCCCCCGAGAGTCCAGAAAGCTAAACATTGCTTGATCCTGTGTCTCTGAGGATGTGAGGGCCTGGGGCTCTCCTCCCAGCACGGCATACACAGGGGCCCATGTACACACCTCCTTGTGCAACTTCAGGAGGGCAGGGATTCCCCTTCACAATCAAAAGGAGCATTTAGAGACCAGCACGTGGGGAGGGGAGCTGGGTGCTGGGCTTCAGCACGTGAGCTCTGGCGGTTCACCAGTGAGCTTCCAGCCAAGCTCCCCGACGTCACAGCCGCGCCCCTTGCACAAGGGACCTGGTCTCTCCAACCTCCCTTTCCACGTTGGTAAAACGAGAATCACACCTGCTTGGTGGGGTGGAGACACTGTTGGTGACACACAGTGTGATCGCCGTGTCGGCACACCCATTCACAGAGGCACTCATCTGTCCCAAATACACGTATCAAGCTGTGACCTGCCGAGGACGGTTCTGGGCCACAGATCCTGCAAGCAGCGCCAAGTCCTCACCTTCCAAGGCTGTAGTGGGTCAAGGTCGGAGACCCAGTGGTCATCAGGATTCCTTCTGCCCTTCTTGGCGGGCGGGTGACACATACCTTCATGTCCCCCTGGCCGTCATTTCCCATCAGCCTTATCCTCTGCAGAGGGGAGGAGGGCCCCGCGAGAAAGTTAGGAAAGGCTTCCTGTCGACTTTCTGAGACACCTGCAGGGCCCTGTGCGTGGGCCTTGGTT